GCTTATCGTCCGCTTAGCTGTATTATTTCTGCTTTGGGATGATCAAGTTGCAACGTATCCAACCGGCAAACGTGACGCTGCGAGTTTTGCCAAAGTAACTTTTTTTTGCTATAGTTTTTTTACGAGAATTTTTTGTCACAAAGTTACTAAGAAAAAGAATGAAAAAGAAGTAATAGCATTTTTGCACTTTTTGGAAATAGGTTCTCTGGTATTCTAGTATGGTATACAATTTCGATTTTTGCTTTTTTCAATACCATCATCACTGTCTACATCGTCATCACTAGCACTGAAAAATCCAAAGACGAAACTAGAGAAAAAACAGTTGTATTATAAGCTGATTTGTTTTAAATTCAAATGTTTGAAGAGCTATTTAACTCATTTAAGGAAAAAAGGAGACAATGCCGATAAAAAAGTAAACTTATTTTGCGCAAGTGAGCAATAGTGTTTTAAAGCAGAAAAAGTGAAAAAAACAAAACACCAGCGTATCATTGAGCTGTATTAATCAACCAAATTGAGCAGCATTAGAGTCAGTTTTGTATTGCTCAGAAGACTACAGCTTTCTTTTTCTGTGTTACCTTGAGTACCTGTCGGTTGTTGAGTTTCTTAGCAGTGTTCAATTTTTCTCATTTGAGCTACCGAAAGATGATGTAGTAAACAAAGAAATCTAATTGACTGAAAAAAAAAGAAGCGAAATGTTCTTCGCTTTTATTTCAATATCAGTTTTACAGTGCTTAGTATTTTTCTTTGTTGTTGTTTCAGAGTTTTTTGGTTACCTATGGATTTATGTTTCCAGAGGCAGATGATTATTTTTTCCGTACAGCGCTGATCAGATATCAACGGCAAAGCGGTTTACCGGTAACAGGGATTCTGGACGACGAAACACTGCTGGAAATGCAACAACCACGCTGCAACAGCGATCTAATTAATCGTAGCGGTCGTTGGAAACGTTTTGGTCAGTATCGTCGAGCTGACAGTAAAGGTGGGTAAATATTGATTTTTTTCTTTGGCTCTAACTAAACTGTTTCTTTGAATGACATCTATTGATTATGTTCTTATAAAAAACTAAAAAAGAAGCAACCAGAATTTAACTGTATTCTGTTTTAGCTGCCCAAGTCTCGCTGTGATATTTTTGGTGCTGTTGCTGCAGCAAATTCTAACAGAAAACTGTAACAGACCAATGTTAAGAGAAAAAAGGGGGAAAAAAAGAAAAGCATTTTTTTGTTTTTTTTTTTTTTCTTAAACTTTGATGTTCTTTTAAATGGTTGGTAAACTGAGCTTTTTTTTGTTGTTTTTGTTGTTGCTGTCTCTTAACGTTTAACCGTTAGTGTATTCAAAACTTCTGAGTAATACAAAAAGTATTTTAAACGAAAAAGTAGAAAAAGACAAAAAAGAAAAGGAAAAAGACGATCGAAGTACAGATCTTCTAACCAAAAAATAATAATATACTAACAAAAAAGTTATTATCAGCATATTTCAGAAGCAGATTTTTTCTTCCCTTTTTCATATATGACATTTTTTTTCTTTGTAGAAACTTAAGTGAAAAACCGTTTCCTCCCCCCCTTCCCCCCCGCTTATCGTCAGTTTTTTTCGTTTGTCACCATTTTCTTTTTGCTATTTAGCCGTATTTAAAGAGCAACAGCAAAAACTGCAAGCAGATATTTTAATCTTTTTTTGCACAAAATGCTAAATAACAGTAGAAAAAATAATAAGCAGAACTTTTTTCAACTATTTGACGTCAAAAAAAGTTTTTTTAGTAAGATTCTGTTCAATGAAAGTTTCTTAATTCCGCCCTCCCTCTCCAAAAAAAATGCAGCAAATTGACAACAACTGGTTAATCAGTTTTTGATGTCGTTGTTTGCTATTTTTGTTAGGAAAAAAAAAGACAATAAATAAAAGGAAAGAAAATCATAAAAATTACGTGCAACACTGAAGTCACTCACCTGTAATATTACATACATATACTGAATCTTGCAGTTGCCATGCAGCAGCAGCATGACCATTTAACTGTCAACTGGAATTGCTGCTTGTATTTTTCCATCAACCAGAGAAGAGAAATACAAAAAAACAGGAACTTCAGATTTTCTGCTTTGGCTTAATATTTTTTTTGATTTTATTCTTTAAAACTTGTAATTTTTTTCGCTCCTAATGAGGTGATAGCAAAAAAAACAATGGAAAGGAGGGGAGGGGGAGAGTAAAAAAAATAAACAAACAAAAAACAATTATTTTTTTCTACTTTGTAGAAGACAGGCAAATTACGAATTCTTAGCAACATATCTCTCAGCCGTAGACAAGAAATGCCTGTTCAACACGCTATCGATCTACAACTGAACTGTTTCTGCTCTACCTAATTGGCCTAATAAATCAACAAAAAGAGGAAAAAAATTAAATGTTCAATGTTTCGTTCTGATTTAATTACAGTCAAAAGACCAGAAGTTTATATATTTTGAATATTTACGCACACCACAAGAAACTGTCAAAGCACTACTAACAAAAAAAGAGTTGAGTAATAGAAGCAGTTTAATTGTATTTTTTTTCACTTATAAAGATTTGAAACTATTAACTAGTCAAATTTTTGGACCAATTCTATTACAGAATTAGTAATCTGTAGCGCTGGATACCCATGGCTGTTCTCGAATAACTGAAAACCAACTAGCTGTTTAACAATGTTTAAAATTCATTCACTTTGACTCCTAACGTGCAAAATTAAATGGCAGATATTATTTTTATTAGCAGATTAATAAACCAACGATTAAACGCTTTTTACACATTAACATTTAAAACAACATCTTTTTTTAAAACTTATAATAGAGGCTATTAGAAAGACAAAAAAAAAATTCTTTTTTGTTTTTGTTGCAATCTGTCCAATAATAAACTTACATGTTACAGATGGTATTGCAAAGTGGGAATTAGGTGCCGATAACAGTTTGTTTCTCACGTGGTTCATTTCACGTTACACCAAAAAACTTGCAAAAAAGCAAGTAAGGTTAGTTATTTGAATAGTATTAACCCAATATAAAGTCTGTTCCGTACAGCACAGCTTACAATATTATTTAACAGGCCTAACTTCACTACAAACTTCTCCACTAGTCCCCTTCTCCAGTCCTCCGTCCAGTTCTTTTTTTGTAAAAAAATAAGCGTTACGTTATCTCTTAACAGGTGACTAGGTCAAGATGATAACTCAGTATTATCTATGTTTTATTTTTGAAGCCAAATCAGTAAATAAATAATTAATAAAATAAACACCATGGCAGAGTATAAGCAAAGTGAAACAAAACAGAAATCAAACGTACCATTGCTGGAATCCACAGCAGTGGAATTAAGAAAGGGAGGGTCGATCGAGGAAGCACAACAACGACTGCGCAAAGTCTTTTGTTTCTTTTAAGCGGAATCCGGTCTGCATGAGCCACCAAATTCGGTACTCTCAGGTGTTCGCGCCGTTTGCACCGTCCAGCGGCCACAGCCCATCCTTTTTCCGCCACTCCACCACCAACTTTGCTTATTTGTTTTAAATTTTCTCCACCTTAAAAATTGTTAAGGTTGAGCGGAATAAAGAAAATGGGAAGGTTTCAGTGCGAAGGTTTATCAGAGCGCCAGCTGTCAGCTTTTCAACGCATACTTACTCGAAAAACATAATTTTATTAAAACCACTTTCATCATACAAATTTTTAAATTCGAAGAGCTTAATTTTCATACTGTGTTTTTCTTGCTTTCCAAGAAAATGCCTCTGAAGGATTACTAGACAGCAAACAGAACGTAGCACAGTTAATTGAACTGCAAGATTTTGCTTAACATTTTTCAACTACTTAGCGAAAAAAGATAACTGCAGTTTTTGAAAGTTTTTTCTAAACCCGTTTTTCGATTTGAAAATGTTTTATTTCTGAGTTGCGACGTTATACGTTTTATTATGATTACAACCAGAAAATTTCACATCTTTTTTTAATATGTAATGTGGTTTTACGAAGCTATCCACTCTTTAATAGTCTACTCTGTCTTCGTGCAATTACTGAACTCTCTACAACGCTGAAGTGGTATTTTTATGACAGATAGTTCTTGTTTGTTTAGTGATGTTGTTAGAAGATGTTTTGCATCTTGGGAGAAGCGTTCAAAAATTCCGTCGATGCCATCTGTAAGGCTTCATTTTGAAGAAGTGACGTCAGAGGCCCAGGCTGACATTAATATAATGTTTGCTGAAGGTTCGCACGGTGACAGTCATCCGTTTGATGGTCGCGCAGAGTCGAACAATGTTTTAGCGCATACGTTCTACCCAAAATACTCAACTCCTCGGTTTAGTGGTGATATACATCTTGGTTAGTTTAAAGTTGGTGATTAAAAATTAATCTTTGCCAATGGCCTCAATCTCACTAAATTTTGTGGTTTTGAAGTGCAAAGAATAAGTGTTAATTCACTAAAAGTTTGTCATTGTTAACATTTTTTTTCGTTTACCTCACTAGATTTAACAGAATGCTTCATACGTTAATTTAGTCTCCCGCTCTGTTTTCCGATATTTACTGTTGCTCTGTAGATGATGCGGAAGACTGGACAGTCTCTGACAAAAGTTTTTACGGGACAAAGCTGGAAAACGTTATGCTTCATGAGATTGGGCATTCATTAGGCTTGACACATAGCTATAGAAAGAATGCTGTCATGTATCCTGTTTATAATCATCAAACAGTGAAACATATTGATTTTGATATTGATGATAAATGCGCATTGAATTGGATTTACAGTAAGACTTTCATTTTCCTTTTAAGACACTGCTACTGAAAGAAAACAAATAAAGTAACTTTTTACTTTGAATTTCCGCTAAAATTGTCGTTTACAGTTGGGCCGTCAAATACTTGTTTATTTGTATGGTTGATGTCTGAAGTATTAGCACGAGAAGTTGATGGTAATAGTCCCGCTCTAGAAAAATATTACACTGGAGTCGAGAATAACTGTGAGTTTTTGATTTCCTTCTGATCTACATTTTTGGCTCAGTGTGAATCCTGAAAAATACACTTCGATTTATCTTCATATTTATCAGTAAGGATTTTTTTTTAGTGGTAACAGACGCCGACGCGTTGGATAAAGAGTCGATTCTTAAAGCTCGTTTACGAAGTTAGAATACTTAAATGACAAGTCCTAGTTGCTTTAAATGCCTTTAGAAATACTCTTTTGTAGTAATTTATTTCTTGTTCGCTGTCACTCGTAAGAGGCTATAGAAATTTTATTAAAATATTTAAAAAACTTACAGTCATTTCAATAGAATTGCTTTTCGTAGGAACATCTCTACCTCGATGCATTGATGATAATGGCGTTCGTGAGCATATAGATCGGCTACTAAGGATTAGGTTATATTTGAATGCGACGGAGTCAAAAGATTATGGTTGGTGCAGAAAATAAAAGGTTTCATGTTAAACAATTTTATGAAAGGCAATCTGAGTTTTAACTCTTTTAGCTGATTTATCATGTAAATTTCTTGCGGGACTATACGACGTTGTTGAAGACCCCTTATTTGGAAACCGGCTTCACTCAGACACTGAAACATCTGAATTAGACGATTTGACTAAAACAAAAAAGCACAGGAAACGACAAGTTGATGAAAGTAATTTTGAAAATGATGAAGTTTTTGATCGACAATTCTATGAGAGATTTTTCAAGTTTTATTCGTCATAGTAGCACAGAGTTGAAGAACTTCTTTAAATTTAATAAGTGTCTGCGACTGTTGTTGACTGTGAGTTTCTGATTTATCCCTGATTGTTTAGCTAAATAAGTATTTATTGCTAGAAAGTCTTTTAGTCAGTGCTTTAATGTTCCAGTGTCGATATGTCTGTATTTATTGTTCTTGAATCATCGACTCTAAACGGATTTGTCTTTTGGCGTCAAGACAGGCTGCCATAATAGTTTATTAATTGATTACCAGAAATCTAGACACAGTTTTATGCATATTGTCGTTCTTTATTCAAATTTTGAGTCATCATCTTAATTTGAATGTTTGTTTATAGTACTGCTGTTGTTGGAGGCAGGAAACTTAGTAAAAAGTATAATTAATTACCCATTTTTTAAATAAGAAAATGTTTGTGTGTTCAGTTATTCTAGATCTTCTATTTAGAGTTAGAGAAAGCCAGTTCTGCTCAATGAATTTTACCAAAAAAAACTATTATTAAATGCTCAAAACCAAAGTTTAACGTATTAATTACAAGTGTATAGTTTGCAATTGTAATCAATTTTAATGAAGTCTCGAGCTTTCATAACTTTTTTAATTCTTTATCTTTGGTCCTAATTACGTGTTGCATCTGAATAGTCTATATATACTTATAAAGTATTATTTATATGGATACATATATATGTATTATATATGAACAAGTGTTAACTAATCCCTTTTGTTGTTACTATGGTAATATGATTACGGTTTTTTTCGCTTTTACAATAAATGATCTAGTATCACATTTGATACTTGTTTTCCCATATGTTCACAACGCATGTGAATATTTTAAACTGGAAAATATCAGCAGAAAATCAGTCATAAATAACTGTTGTTTTGTTTCCGGAAAACACTTTTGACCACTGGTTGTAGTATATTTTTTAATACATGTGAATGGCTTTCTTGTATTGCAAATTGTTTTCATGAACAAAAACAAAGCCTATAACATTATTTACGACTGGGTTGAAAAACAAGAGTCATGGATTATTAAATCATAAGTTGTTGGTGTTTACGATCTTGACCGATGATGTCCCATGGTATTATTTCCAACTGCTTCGCACAAATTTTCAATAAAAAAATTTTAAGGGAAGTAGCCCTTTTTTTTTCTTTTTTTCCCAATTGTGAATTACATTTTTTATTTCATTTTCCAGGCAATGTTGACTTGTATCTATTACTAAAAAAAAAAATACTGACAAATTGAAACGGATAACCGTGTATCAAACAATAAACGATATTAAAGGCAAGACAAAAAAAGCCAACAAACTTGGTGGACAAAAAGAAAAAAAACTGACTTAGGTTTATTCGCAAAATTAACCAACAATAACAATAACAGAAAAAAAAAGCAGACAAATAAACATTTGGGTCGTTCTTCTGGAAAACATTCAACTAAAATTGTAGTTTTAATTGATAATCATTCTGAAGTGTAATACAGAAAAAAAAAGAAGAATCATTGACGGGCTGTATTATTCTTGATCTACCAAAAACTATTGCCTACAATAACAGTAGCGGAGGAGAGGAGAAAGATTATGTTGATTGGTTTTCTAGAACAAATTAGAAGAATCAAAACACTTCTACAATAAAACTTCTGTAACAGAAAAAGAAACATAAAACAGAGACGACAACAACAGCAAAAGATGATTTGTAATTTTGAAGGCTGCTTAATCGAATTTGTCATTTCTTACAGTTTTTCGGTACAGTGAAAATATTTGTTTTTTTTTTTTTTACTCTCTTTCCTTCGCCGTTCGTCATCGTCATCGGTCGTAATTGTTGTCATCGCCATCATCGTCATCATCATCATTTCCATCTCTACTATTGTCTTCTTTTTACATCATGAAATTCTATCGATAAACAATATGCCTTCCTTTATTCCATTTTCCCACAATAATCACTTTTTAAAATAAAAAAAATAAAAATTTTTTTTTGGTTTTTTTTTTTTTTTTTTTTT